CAGGGTCATAAATCACATCTTGTCATAATAACACAAAATGTGTTGTAAACCCCCAAACCGTTCCTTTTATACCTGACTTTTAGGACCTCCAAGCCTGTAGTTATGTTCATTATCAGTTAGAGCCCCTCCTCATTGTTGTTCTTCTTTGGTGCAACCCTATAAATACAGTGTACATCTTTTGCTTCTCCCCTTTTCTACAATTCCCCTGTGGGAGAGGTTGGTGTCATTTCTTTCCAACACTGTAAAACACACATATAATTCATATTTAGCCACCCTGATGTTTCTGATTGCAATTTTAGTTCAATTATTGTCATCATTATGCCTGTTTTTTGTTAGATGCTATAAATGTGTGTGCCACATATGTGTTCTAGGGAACGTGAATGCTAACATGAATAGATAATTCTTGCTAGCTTGGAAGTTGTGGTGGATTGAGCTAACCCTCTTCCCCACTGTTTGTATTTGGTCATAGGAGCTGGAGTGGGCAAGCTATTTATTTGGAGGTCTTTCTTTCTTTCACCTTTTATCGTCAGACACAACGCAGAACCACACCGGTCACACTTATCCAGGTAACTTCAGGTGTAACCCTGAAAAATGAAATTCGCAAGCAATTTTAAATCAGTGTTATTGTTCTATAAGGATTAATACGTGATCCTAAACAGAACACTTGTAAGGACTTGTTTACCACCAGTGTTGGTCAAGTTACTTGAAAAAAGTAATCAGTAACTAATTATTGATTTCTTCCCCCCAAAAGTAATCCAGTTACTTTACTGATTACTTATTTTCAAAAAGTAATTAGTTACTTAGTTGCTTTTTAAAAACATGATTTACAACCTGAATACGTAATAAAGCCATAGATCTTTCAGCCCAGTTCTACTTTTTCTGCATAATCCATCATACAAAATGTAATCAAATGGAAAAGTCTCTTTTAAAAACTTGTTTTATTAGTTTTATTCTTTTAACTTCATGCATCAAGCAAAAATGTAATTATATACAACACTCTCTGACTGGAAGAAATTTGTTTAACATTTAAACCTATTTTCTGCACATTCCAGCACATAAAATAAAATAGGTTTTTGTGTTTACACTCACTCTTTCAAATAAATGCAAGTGAAACACAGCAGAAAATAAATAAAATCAAAGACTCAGTCCTGTTGCTCTATTTTCAGCTGTATAGCAGGAGCAGGGCAGGCGGATGTTTGCCCTGGTGCAGGTGTGTCGCAGCGGTCAGTGGAAGATTCCGTGGCAGCGCACTCGGTGCTCGCTCGGAGGTTTGGGGGTTTTTTTCGCTGCAAAAAGAAGTTTTCTTCCCACGCACTGTACAGCGGATGCTAATGTTTTTGTCACTTTTTACGGAATCAAACTCAAAGTACGGTCAGTACTTCCACGCGTTAAATGCTGCACGCTCATACTCTCTCCCGCACTCGATATATTATCCATTGTTGATCTGCACACAGCTGTTGCCACCAACGTTGCACTCGCTTACGTCATTGTCATGAGACACTCCCGCAAAAAAATCACAGCTTTAGTAACGCAGTGTGCTTACGGGAAAGTAACAGTAATCTAGTTACCTTTTTTGCAATAGTAATCCCTTACTTTACTCATTACTTGAAAAAAGTAACGCGTTACTGCCCATCTCTGTTTACCACACATCAAATTTGTGCACACACTAATATTTTAAAAGTTAAGAATAAATACTAAAACATGATTGAGACCGTTAAACGCCAACAGTGCTGAAGCTGAAAGAATAAAACTGTCTCACTGTCTCTTAGTTTAATGGGATAACCATTGTAATCTGTCAGCTTCTCCCATGTCCTAATTATACAACTGCAGTCTAATACTGATAAGCGTAATAGCTTAGAGAGTTAATTCTTCTGCTGGCATTACTTACCCATGTGAAATAGTCATGAAAAAAACAATCATTTTTCATGTACATGGACATGAATTGTCCATACATGAATTGGGACAGGAATAAGTGAGTAATGAATTTAAATAGGAAATGAACAACGTGTTTGTCCATAAAAGTGAGCAGGAGCCAGTATGACCATCAAGAGAAAGCTTGAAAAGAGGCTCATATTTCTGATATATGTATGTATCCTGTATGTATACTTTTGACCATGTGTGGTTAAGAGAAAACCCTAAATAAATTCAAGGTTGTACACCCGACTCTTGTTTTTTTTAAGTCATTAAAGATGTTTGCTGTACTCTATTTCCTCTCTAGAAAGAGAACAGTTCAAAGAAATAATTAAATATCCAAAACTATCATGACATTCATGCCAACGATTGTATGAGTGCACATAAACCTCTGACCACAACTGTATAAATTACAGGCCATGGCACTGTTACCTTCTAAAACAATCACAATACCTTGAAATAACACAAAAATATTATTAACAGTTCACTATAACTGTGATTAGCAGTCATGGACCATTTACACTCCAGATATCGTGGTGCATGGGCCTTCCTTCCTTTGAACACAGGGTGATGGCTAAAGATACTTTAATTTTTTACAAACTGCTCTGCCTCACTATTTTCATATACGGAATGTGTTAATAGTAGATGTCATTACATATCTATAAGCCAAGTTTTTACAAATTGTAACTGATCATACGAGTTATGTTTCATTAACTATCAGCCGCAAAAGCTAACTTCCCTAACTTGGTTTGAAAAAGCACCACATCTTATCTCACATGGCAATTTCCCATCCAATAATTACCAAAAATCCAAATTCTCTATCCTTGTATTTATGCATTTAAATTGTCTGCCTAACCACGTATCACATGATGACCCTGAATACTGAACCCCAACTTGTGGGCTCTGAGAGAGTAAAAAATATTAATCAACATAATTCATACCGTTACACATCACCAGGCCTAAAGCTGAAATAAAGTCTTACACAAATCTAAATCTTAATTTAATGGACTAACCATTGTAATCTGCCAGCCTCCCCAATGTCCTAATTGTACAGCTGTAGCCTAATACTGATAAGCGTAATAGCTCATAGTTCATTCCTCAGCTGGCAGTAGACTTCCCCATGTCTGTCAGGGTCTCATGAGAAAATGTGAAATAGTCATGAAAAAAACAATAGTTTTTCATGTAAAAGGACAAATTCGTAAGTAATGTGGAAAATGTATTTAATGTAATAAGCATGTATTTTTTCCAGGGAAAGTGGGCAGGAACCAACATGCTCATCAAGAAAAGAGCTTGAAAACCGATGTATTTTAACCCAAACCAGAATTACTCCAAACCTAACCCAATAACCCTTAAATGCCAAGACCTAAACAAGTAGCTGTTAATGCTTAAAATTAACCAGTTGACATTTTTAATTAATAATTATACTGTCAGTATGACTCAAATTTGATTTGCTCCATTACTTCCAAATGCAGACTTCCAATTGCTGATGTTAGGAATCCAGTTGATGCAAAGACATCCTAGATATGTTGGACTTGTGTATAACACCATCAGCTGGTTGGGCTTCATTTTGTAGCCCATCTATCTAGATTCCTCTCTACCAGCCAAAGCAATTCAATGACAACACACAAACAACGTCCTTAATGTCGTCCCAGTACTGAAATCGTTTATTTTTTCTCTGACAATAAACAAAGAATATCAGTAATAAACAACTCTCAGTTTGTACTGATAAGATGACACAAGAACATCACTGTTATTATTTGGATTCTGAAAATATAAAGACATTTAGGAGGAGAGTTACTGTGATAGTGAGTGACAACAAGTGCTAATAAATGGCAAAATACACTCATCAGTGCAAGGTACAAATACAGGACATCGGAGTAAATGCTAGAAAAATACAACCCTTGTGAGAGTGACGCTCTTCGTGATGCGAGCTGTTTTAAAAACACAGACGCCATGCTTCATCTACCCGTATCAGTGCAGCCAATCTGTTCCCTGATCCTCGTCTCACGCTACATATTTATTACACATATAAATGTTTTGCTACTGCTGCATTTTTACAAATATTACCATCAACAAAGAAGAGGTAAATACAGTTAATACTGATGATAATGTGCGGTGCTTTGTAGCTATACATCATGTGAAAAGAATATGGCTATCATCACCTTGATGAGTCTGATATGTAGATTCAGGTGCATTCATGTTCTGTATATGCAATCAGTTTCTTACTGATGGTGTGAAAAGATGCATCTCGGCAAATATCTACACATGATAAATAACGATAAAAGTTCAGGGGGACGGGTGGGTTAAAATCGTCAAATGTGCCGGGATGCATTCGGAACACCAAAAACAGCAGATTAAAGGACACAGTGTACTTCTTAAAGACAGAGACTCAGATATCTTACAGATAAATGTGCAGAAAAGAAGTGGCAATCGGGAAAGATCAAGACAGGAAAGAGAGGATTCACGTGTATGTGACTTTAGAGTTCTTCTACTTTCTGAAAAGAAAGTGGTAGAACTGTTAGCTTTTGATAAGTTGCGAAAAGTTCGACTAAAAAACTTGCCGTGTAATTGAAAACCGTCACACTGTTGATTTCCACAAGGGATGCTCTCGAGTTAGTAAAAATAAGGGGGGGTCTCTGTACTTTTGCTTGCCTTGAAAATTTTAGAAAAGTGCAACCCTTGAATTGCTGCCAGATATCTGAGTCACTTTATTAAAAAAAATAACACCAAACAGTGAGCTAGTCATATTTGTAACACAAAAGAGAGAAGAACAGGACACAGTGTACTTCTTAAAGAGATAAAACGTGCAAACTATGACGCGGAAAATATTAAGTCCAGGAAAGAGAGGATTCACGTGTACGTGATTCCGGCTGAAGCGCATCTTAACTGTGGCAACGTTCTACATTCCCAAAATCAGTGGTGGAACTCTTGGCTTTGATTTGCTTACGCTAAGAAGCTGTTCTACTATATTTCTTGTAAAAACTAGAGAGGGTCTCTTGAATTAGTCTCTCATTTCTTTTCTAAATGTACTTGTATATTGTTCACATGTTGAAATAAATTACCAATCAATCAATCAATCAATCAAATAAAGATGTTCTGCTGGAGCCTAAAAATGTAAATGTCCTTCACCATTAGCTTCATAGAGCTTCCCCTGTTCTGGACTACTTTACAAGTGCCCCATAAAACAGGATGTCCAAAGAGCTGAAGTTCTCAATATATTTACAAGTTCTTTAGTTTACCTTAAATATGAGCAAAGCAATGGAAGAGTTCAGTCCAGCAAAAAAGACGTAACTGGTCTTTTGTTGCTGTGACAGAAACGTGTACATGTGAATCCTCCCTGTTGGATCTCTTCACATGCTTTAATGAAAGCTGTACGTATTAAAGTTTAACCCACAGCTTCAACCAGAGACAATAAATTTCCCTGAGCTAGCATGCTGACAACTGGGTGCGTTACCACTCTAAGATTACATGCAAAACTCACTGCTTTGTCCTGATGTCATAGCTGTGGAAACGCACAAAAAGCAGCTCACATGTGAGGAGTTTAAATTCAAAATGAAACGTGCAACATTTACCTACAAAACAGTGTCGGAGTATGTGAAATAATATTTAAGCTTTTTTTTAAAAAACTTCTTGTAATAAAACAGGCCATATGAAGCATCACTGGGATCAGAGTAAATTATAGAGGCTGAGTGCATGCAAGTGGATATTAACACAGTGACAATAAAAAGTAGTTAGCGCACACTTTAGAGAATCACATTACTCAGTCAGGTAAATGGCAATCAGTAGGTAGTGCTGTACATAGGATAACACTGTAATCTCGAGTTTTGGTGGGCCCATGGGAAAATATATTACGTATGTATCCTAGCTTAGATCGTCATTTTGTCTGGAGCAGACTTAAATCTTAAACCTTTAATAAAATGTTCACACATGGGTGGGAAATGTAAATAAATGTGGCTACATGACCTTTAAGGAGAGACAGCCAGTGCCATTATGGAGGTCTGCAGGTGAAACGCTTATGTTTGTTTGTCACAGCCTACATGACTCACCCGGTATTCAATCCTCTAAGTTTTGCTGAAGCTCAACAGTGACGTTAGCATGGCTCCCTCGAGCTACAGCGTCCAAATCCAGAAATGTTGTGGAGAAAAGCTGAATTTAACAGTACAGACAGATTTGTTGCACATCTGCTTTGAATCCATGTAGAGCCTATGGCATAGTCTATGAGCGGCGTTTCTCTCCAAATTTCTCATCCGGTCAATTTTAAAAATGGGAACAGAAGAAACAGAAACTGGAAATGCATAGGAGGAAACAACAGTATGGAAAATGCTAATCACAGTCTCTGTGGGCTGCATTGATGCTACATGCAGTTAGACTTCAAAAATTATCAAAATTGGTAGATCGCTGTTGTGAATGAATGCTGTATGTAGACTAAAATAACGGAAATGGTTTTGTCAGGTCCGTTTTAAAGTGGACATGAAACACTACATGTATAAAGGCTAATTTATACCACCAGCCCTGCTATCAAAAACTGATATAGATGTAAAACTGCCTGTGAAGCTGAATTTAAGAAATAAAAGCTTAAAGTAAAAGTTTTAAAAACGTGTTTAGTGCCACTGGGAACATTATGTCACTTGGTTGGTTGGTTGTGGTCAACAGACTTACATTAGTTTATGTTAGCTAACCAGTACAGAACCAATAAATGTGGAAAAAATAAGGACACGAACAATAAAAATCAATCTAAGGGGGTCACTTTTGTGCTACCCATGGGTGCAACAATGAGCTTTATGTTAAAACCAAGTATATACTGTCCACTTTCACTTTCTATTTCTTACGTAGCTGATTGGCAAGCTGCACTGACACAGAAAAACCTACCCGTTAGCTGTAATGTTCAGGTTTGTAAAGCACTTTAGAAATTAGGACAGTGTGGAGGAGTGCCTGTTTGAGTCAGGTGGTTCACTGGACCAACAAGCTGGAGTCAGAAACTCTGATTTTTCCATGTCTGACTGAGTGTACCAAGCGGTCTGGTCTGCTGGTCTCAAAAAAGTGCTTTACAAACCCAAAAATTACAGCTAACAGGTGGATTTTCCTGTGTTAATGCAGACAGTCAAACAAAAAATAACCACTTATTGCTTAAGAAATAGAGAGTGAAAGCAGACAGTATATCCATCTGTTTATACTGTCATGTTTGCACTGAAGCACCGCAGCAATTTCCTAATGTTGTAAACCTGCTCAACATTTGGCAATAAACCCCTTTCTGATTCTGATTCTGATCTATTTTCTTCCGCTTGTCCTTATCAGGGTCGCTGTTAGCAGCAGCTAGCCAAGCTGGTGACATAATGTTCCGTACTAACAGAAGATGGCATAAACATGTTTTTAAAACTTTAACTCTAAGCACTTAATTCTTAAATCAAGCTTCACAGACAGTTTTACATCTGTGTCAGTTTTTGAGAGCAGGGCTCCATGTCTAAATTTGCCTTTATATGTGCAGCGTTTCATGACCACTTTAAATAAGCTTAACAAGTAAGCTTTAATATGTGAAAAACAGCTGCTTGTTACTAACATGAGCTCTACTTTATCAATGTAACTTTCAGCTTGGAAACATGAAACCAATGTGGAAGTACGTTAAACCTGCATTCTTTCTCGTAGCCAGCAGGGGGCGACTCCTCAGACTCGCGTGTATGAAAGACAGTGGGAAGAACTCCTTTAATTTAGTTCTGACTCATGTTAACTCCTCTCCATTGATTTATGACTTTAGTAGGTGCTTTTCTGATGAGTTTATGGGTTCCGTCTATTTTAAATTATTTTTATTTTTCAAATGTATGATAGGTTTTTAAGATTTGAGAATGTTAAGATGGTGACAATGAATTTGCTGCACTTGAAGTTTCAAATACAGGATTTTGGTAACCAGTGGGTGACTAATCATAGCTATGTCCATTGTGTTTTTATAGTCCATGATCACACCCACAATTAGAATATTTTGAGATTATAGGTAGCTCTTTTTTAATGCTACAGTAGCTTTTATGCTAAACATGCTAAATGTACATTTTAAACTTTTTTTCAAGAAAAAAACCCTGTTTTTCTGTGAAGAAAAGTCTGTTGCAGATAAATACAATCAGCTGCTCACAGCTGATGCCAAACAAGATGCAGACCTCCAAAATGGCTGCCAGACAGTTCATTGCTACACCTGAAAGGCTTCTCGGTATCTTAACGCTACACTGAGCAGAGGCGGAAGCCTAACAATGCCAAGCTGGCTTTTTGTCCCACTTCTGAGCATTTCATCCGGACACAGAATCCAAACTGTGGGATTTGGAGGTCCTCCATGTGTGGCTCGGCGATAAGTCCACCCAGTCGCATGATTTCTCTCTTCAAGTTGACTCATCCAGCTTCAGAAACTCTAAAAAGAGAAGGTGTGGAGCAGAGTGAGATAGTGGATCTCTGAACCACACAAACAATATCCAAAATGAGACTAGTTTAAAGGAGAAGCCCAAACTGTGATTAATAATAATAATATAATGGAATATTTAAGAAATGCCTTTAAAGATGATTAATCAGCTCACAGGCTTTCTTTGGGGAAAAATTATAGAGAGCAGGGTCCGCCAAAATCAAAAACTAATAAATAAATAATTGTAAAAAATGATAAACTGTTACCAAAATAATAGCATCAATAAATATCTGCATTTATTGTTACACATTTGGCATTTGAATTTACATTTGAATGGAGAAATAAAAAAAAAGTTATTAATAAAACTTTATTGATCAACCAATAAATTGACTCAATAAGAGCCTCTTCTTTTGCACATTGATACAGAAATGCATTAAAATGTAAAACTATAAAAAGAGGGTAGAGAAATAAATAAGTTTACAAATATATAAGCAATACCTGCAAAAAAAGAAAGATACGCAAAAAAAAGTAAACAAAAGTACGAATTTACAGCAGGGAAAATGACTTAACGGTTTACTGTCATGCGCTTTAATTTATTTTTTATTATTTATTGATCTATTTATTATTAATGAAAGGATAAAAAAGTTAAACAATTTTAAACACTATTTTTTTTGCATAGTATTTCTGGAGCCCACAGTGTGGACTGTGAAAAGCAGAAACAGTCCTTTGAAAATTTGTATTTCTAGCCTCCTGCTGAGCTCACACTTTTTACTTAACAAGGATCCTTTTATCTCTAAAAAGTATGAAAATTCTTCCTCAAAGCCAGCAGACTCGTTGGAGTAAGAGGACTGCCATTAAACTGCCCCACAGAGATCCACTGTAATTTCAGCTTTTTTCGCAGACACTACCTCTTTATCAGTGTCTTTCCTGTGATTTTAAGTGACCTCACACTCTCAGGTACATAAAGCAACTTTTATGGATATTCACGGTTTTATACAAGTTGAGGTTGTGACTTTTTATAAGCAGTTTTTTGAGAGCTGGGCTGAGCCATGTCCACCAGCACAGCAACTTCATCTGCAACTAAACTGAAGCTTTGTACTTGCTATTTTAATTCTGAGCCACAATTTCATATATTTGTGGACAGGCTATAATTTGTGTTTGCTTGTGTAGCTCAGTGTGCTTTTTTCTATAAAGAGTGGGGTTTGGTTTATTTTGTATACGGTAAAGGGCATAAAAGTACATGGTAGATCTTTTGCATTGACTTTGCTTGCTGGTTATAAAGTGGCTGAGGAGTGAACATTGCCTTAAGGTTCCACTTTATGTTCCTCAACTGCAGCTGCATACAGAGAATTAATTTCACACAAAAAAAAATGTCAGCAGGTCTTGTCACTGATTCCTAAGCACTTTAAATTATGGTAACATAAGATGTATCTGGGATAAAATGTGGTTTAAATTGAAATAGGACAACTGTGATCTGATCCCATTGGGCAAAGATAAAACAGCAACATCCGTCACTGCATGTTGATGAGTGTTCCTGACGTGTTCCACACATAGTCTGAAACAAAACTGATAACTAGTCTGATTCAAGGAATATAAAGGTGGGTGAAAAATCAATAGGAAAAACCTGAATCCCTGACCCTTACAATGTGATGCCATCATAGTTCAGGTCCACTTGTTAAGGCAGCCACATGTGCCAAATAAATCTACTGAACTGGACTGTTTCATTGCCCAGCAATACCTGTGACATGATAGCAAAGCTATTTTTTGTCTGCTATCATGATAACAGCTGGAGGACATGTGCCTTTTCTGCCATAACTCAGCTAAATTTCAACTCTTTTGTTGGCTTTCCAAACAAGTTATTTTACCTCCACCTGCTTTCTTTGGAATTATTGACATATCATGAAAGCCTTCACTGCTTTTCTCACAGTCACTGGATAAAAGTGACACTCCTGCAGTGTTAACTTATGAATTTTTGAACCAACACCACAATGTGGGTCATTGTCTCAGTTTGTGTGACGAAGGCGACAAGGGCCTAACACACTATGGGGCCTTACATAAAGTGGTGCACCTGGTCATCAGATCCCCCATCAAAATGGCACACGGGCTTGTTGAATGATTTGATGAGGATGAAAAAGATGTGAATAGCATTTATGGCCTTCATAGTCACTAGATCCTAACACAGCCAAACACTAATGAGGAATTTTACTGGCAACACATGAGGAAACATCTTTTAAAAGAATGGTCTTAATCCCTCCAGCAGACTTCCAGATACTTGCAGAATAATTACTAAAGAGGACTGAGAAACTGTTCTGGACTTGTTTTGGTTTTTCCTGTTATTTTTCAACCTTTTCTCTGTAATCGCTGCATAAAGATATTGGAAATGGGCTGCTGAGGAGTGTGAAACACTTCGATGAGTGTGTTTCTATAAATAAAAAGGTATTCATGAATCTTTATGTGCATCTTGCTGTGATTGCTCATAACCTGTGGCTATTTTTTAACCCACAGGCACATCTCACGACCTACTACTACACACACAACCGTTGTAAATGCCAGCGTTAATGTAGTGTAGAAAGATGCAAATGATGTTTGGCAAACTTGTGTTAGTCATGTGTTCAGTTGCTACCATTAAGCGTGCTTTCTGCTCAGTGGGGATGAAAATGGGCTTGAAAGCAAAGTGTAGTTTGAAAGAAAAAGTTATTAGTCTTTTTTTTGTGCAGTGTGAAAAAGTGAAATACTGAACCTTGGTCTGTCTTTATAACTGCCAGCTCCAGTGACAGGTTTTAAAGGCAGCATTTGAACGTGTCTGACGAGTCTCCCGAAAGAAGAGTTCACATTTATTTTGGTAGATAAAAACTGAAAAAGTATGAAACTTTAATGAAACTTGCCAGTAAACCTTTTCAGTGGGTTAAAATCAACTTAATAGTATGTAATTTTCAGTACTTAGAACAAACTCTGACACTGTTTTTAGTCCTTAAAAGTCCTTGTGACCCCGGCAGTTGGAGGGTTCATAATTTTGCATTTTCCAAGGCTACAGATCAAAGTTCATTACACATAAAAGCCATGTGTTTTAATGGTTCAGTGCATGTTTTACAGATGAATTATTTGGTTCACTGGATTTCGGTGGTGGTAATCTAAAAATAAAAATAAACTGTGTATCATGTAAAATATGCATACAGTTAAAAATTCATATATTTTTAGATACTGACTTAAATGTGTTATTCTAGCTGTGTGCAAAAACATATTAAAGCTTCAGTTATATGACTTTCAGCCATGAGCTTTAAGTGCAGACTGTCTAAACTGCACATACTGTCTGTCACGGTATTTGTGTTTCAACTTATGGAATTATATTCTTTGATTACTGAGGTTCATGTTTTTGGGTTTCTTTAGTTTTCAGGGATCGTAGTCCTCTCTCCCTTAGTGTTTATCTCAGCCTGTGGTTAGTCTCTGTTCCCATGTTTTCCCTGTGTCCCAAGTCTAGTGCTTTAGTATTCCCTCTGTTCCAGAGACTGTCTGTTTCCATGTCAAGTCTGCGTCTATGTGATGTCATGCTTCCTGTTTTATTTTGATAGTCCTTGCCTAATGTCACTTTCTTTGTCTCGCGATTTCTGGTCCTCTCGTCGTCTTGCCTGTGCATTTAAGCCCTGTGTTTTCCTTTGCCCTTTGTTGCATTGCATCCTCACTATTCTGTGTTTTTCCCTCTGTGTTCTTAGCCGTTTCCTAGTTTACAGTTGGAGTTTTTGGTCCCAGTTTCTAGTTTACAGAAAGTTTACAGTTTACAGTCAAAATAAAGCTGCCTCTTTGAGTTTACTTCCCATTACTTCCTGCATTTGGGTCCTACATCCTGCCCACCACGCAGCAAAGCTTGACACAGTCACATATTTTCATGCAAGTTGTCCAAATATGCCTGTTCAGTTAACTTAACTCATTCACTGCCATTGACGTCTATAGACGTCAATTACGTTTTTCAATGGGAGGGGCTAGAATACAACCTCGTCACAAAGCAAGAAATATTAGTGTCAAAAGCACTTTTCTGCTTGAAATGTATTTTTCACAAAAAGCTCGTTTTCTCCCTTTTTTTGGTCAAAACAGGCATTTTTGGTGGAACCCACCTCTCTTCTACAGCTGATTACTAAAGAATGGAAAATGGTAGAAACAAGCTTTTTTTTTGGATGAAAGAAGAGAGTCTGTTCTTCATTTTGGTAGGTTCAGCGTTTATATGATCATAACACACAGTTTTCTGTGGCTCTTCAAAAATGAGTAAAAATGCTCAAAAACCCTGGCAGTGGGGAGTTACCTGATTTGAAAATGGCTGGCAGTGAATGAGTTAAATGTTGTTTAATGGACCAGCATTAGAGATTTCTTTCATATTTCTTCATAAACTAAACTAGTAAAAGGTCCAGAGATTATTCCAAGTGTGTTGGGAAGCATTGTTTCCGTGAATCATACAACAAAGATTTCTCTCTTTTTCTAAAGAAAAACTCTTTTCGCAACATTTAGCTGAGTGAAGAAAATTCTCCAGGAGTTAGGTTTACCAGCCTCGACATTAGAAATGTCATATTATAAATTATTTATATATTGCGGTTAAATATTTCAGTCATTTGGATCACACTCTCCCAATTACACTTAGTCCAGAATCATATTTGTTCAAATACAAGTCTGCACTTTAAGGGCATATCACACCACATAGCTATAACTGGATTGTTATTGTGGATAACTAAAATAAAAGTTGCCAGTGTTCAAAATATATGGACCTCACTATACACTATCTCTTAAATAAATGTGGTGTCTTACAGTTGGCCAGCTGAAGTCTCGTCTGTTCTTTCTGTTGGCTCGGAGTGGCTCGTGTTTTCGATTTAATATAGGTCAACTTCTTTGGTTCCAATCCACCTGAAAGGATGAAATAAAACTAATTTTAGACATTGTTTTCTCAATGTTCTCACTCATGTCAAGAACAAGACTCAAATGTGGAGTTAGAAGAACTGCTTGACGCTGACAGGCTGACGTCTTCAAAGAGAGCACGATTATCATCCTGAATTCAAAGTGGCAGCAGATCTAAGAAACGCTAAAGGAGCTGCAGCTGACATCCAGAAAGACGGTAAATGTTTGGCTCAAACAGCCACCTCACATGTGAAAAATAATGCAAATGAAGACATGTTTTTCAGATAGGGAGTGACAGTTTAGGATGCTTAAATAAAACTGTTCTGACTGTGGGATGTCCTGTGTAGACAAACATTTAAATATGCATTTCACCTAAAAACAGTCAGAGACATTAACTGTTCACTTATTTGCTCCTCTGGACAATGTCTAACCAAGCTAAATGGTCCATATGTTAAGCGATCTGAGGCATTTTTTATCTATACAAACTAATTCAACTATGAGTCCTTTAAAAAAGTTATTGTTTCTCCCTCATCCTTCACCTGCTTTTAATTTTTCTCTCATAGTCAGCATATCTAAAATTTGTCTATCTTAAAAGATGGTCCTTCATTTTGATCCAATTCATAAGCTCTTTGTATTAAAATTAAACAGTTTTTCTTAAGAAATATGAGGAAAAGGAGGTTCTCAACTGTTTGCTTATCAAGAATGCAGGTTTAACATATCCTCAGTCTCAGGGCATCAAATACTGACTTGGTGTCTGAATAATAAAGAGACAAAGTCCAAAACTCATTGCTCCCTGATAAGGAGGTTTGTCCTGGTGACAAATCTGGGACTTACTTTAAGTCCTCCAACTTTTAAATATGGACCCTATGAAAGAGGACCTGTCACAGTCCTTGGATTTTTGTTATTTTGTGGTTTGGAATTCCAGGTAAATATTTTTATTCTTACTACAACTGTTTTAAAGGTTTGACTTCTGTGTTTGGCAGATTTCTGGTTTCCTGCATTGATTTCAACAATCTAGTAGATCACAAGCTTTATTTCCAGTGGTTGTTCTAATGATTAGTTTCAGTTTTGCATCCTATGTTTTGGTTCCTGGTCTTTTGTCTTTGTTTCTATTAAGATTCCCTCAGTGTTTTCCCTTCTGTTCATCCCTCTGTCACATCTTTCTGTCTTTGTCCTCCTGTGTTTCCCTGACTTTATCTTGATGTTTAGTGTAGGTCTTCTAGCCTCCATTATCAGTAAGTTTCCTTGGGTACTTGTTATTATTCATGTCCCTATCAATCTCCTTTGATTACTTCCTGTTTTTAATTAAAACGTTTGTTTCTTTTGTTTCCTGTGTTAATTTTGCATCAGCCTCTCTCCCTGATTGGTTTCTCCGCTACAACCAATTTCTCACCGTAAAGGGGTTACTGTTAGGAATAAATGTATTTAACTCAAATCATATTTGATTTATAAACTATAAAAAAAAGATTTTTGAGCATCTAAACGTAATCAGCAAGTAAAAACAAAAGTAAAAGGGGATTGGGGGGAAACAAGGAAAATAAAAAAGGAACAAATGAGTTGTGAACTATAGTGTGATGTGGTATTTATGGTATCCCTTTGGTGTCTGCTTATGTAGGTCTTTGGCTATGCAAAAATGCCAACAGCGTGTGGTGTTAGGTAAAGTGCTGACTGGTTGAAAAACTGGCTAAACCAGTAAGGGAATGGTAGAGTTCACCATGGAAAGAAAAGGGAAAAAAAGTGCTTTTAATTTCAGCTGAAAATCTTAATAACCCTGCCAAAGATAGCACTTCAAAATGATGAATGAGCTGTAATTAATATTAGCTTATATAAGTAACTTGTTAATTTATAAAGTCAGCCATCAAAAGTTCTCATTTAAGCTCTCGTTTGATTAAAAGTTACCGCCTCAAAATGTAAACCTGCTTCTTTCTGCCTCATGGTGTGAAATCAAGTACTTGATTTCACACCATGAGTGTTTTTCCTTTTTCTACATGCCGTGTCATTAGCATACTGAGCAGGCCATGTGTGCAATATGCTCTCAGTACCATGATAAAGGCTCCGCTTGTTGTAACGACACCGTGATCGCTTCCAGCAATCTTTTATATAAAGGTAAATATTGAACTTTGAATCTTCAATTTCCCCGGTAACCTTGAATAACGCAGAGAACATGTGGATAAATGTGAGTGGATCTTCAGGAAATTTCCTTATGTGCTAAGTGCTCAATAGATACATGAATAATGAATTCCCTTCAGCAAGATTTTCTCTGGATATGTCTTTTTTAAAGGAAATGAGCAGTAAATGTCAAGAATAAAGCCTGTTCTTTAAGAGGCTTTAAAAAGCAAGATCATCTTTTTAAATCACAGTGCCTACTTAGACCAACATTAAAGCCACTGACAGGTGAAGTGAATAACACTGATATGAAGAAGTGTTCTACTGGAAAGTCTTAGGTCCTGGGATTCACCTGGATTATATTGTACCACCCATTAAAATGAATTTTTATTTCATTTTGGACAATTGAATAAGTACCTAATTTTTACCAAATTATTTTGTTGTTATTCTGCCTTAATTTCATAGCATTTGGTTTTATTTACTAATGTCTTAGAAATCTTTGATCTGGTGCAGGAACCTTAAAAAAACAAGGGGCACTCCCTGGTGACAGGAATTGATTTAAGGATGATGATTTGCCAAATGACAACAAAAATACTGCTGAGGAACAGGTTGAGGATACCCACAAATAGTCCAAGGTCCTCACCTGTCCTCTAAATTTCCTATATCCCAATCCGCTTGTGTGCTAACACGATGGAAATGCATCCCTTTTAGATCCATGTCCTCACAGATAAGAAGTCTCAACCACTAACCATAAGATATCAAGACAGTAGATTTGTGTCCAAAAAGTCTTGACCATCAGGACACAGAAAAACAAACAAACCACAACTGAGACATATCAGAAACTTTTAAATAAAAAAAAGAAAGCCATTGTATTTGTTGCCAAGACACAGGGTTAACCCTCTGAGGTCTGAGTCGTCATTGGTGAAGACTCAAACCCTAACCCTAAACGTATTCTATCATAATATGTCATTTTTATCATTTAAAAAAATGTCAGGAGTAAAAAAAAAAAAACTGTAACATCCATCAAACTTTTTTCATGTCTTTCAAAAAAATTCCTTTTTACTCTGTTATAAGACAGAGACTTATGATTACGCTGCATCCGCAGAGTGAAAGAGATCAACATGGTGATCAGACCAAAGAAAGTTGATGATGTTTGGTGATGTTAAAAAATCTGGTGACACGAAGTGGGCGGGACCTAAGGTAAAGTTTTCACACCTTCTAGTTGAGAAACTGAATGGCTACCAATGATATCTCAGGATACTGCTTACATATGACCTGGTAGTAAATACGATAGATTGTTACCTAGGCAACTGTGGCCTTGAATATCTGATCGTGACCAACTGACAGTTTCTAAGCGATGAGACATGAGTGAATCACTTCCAACATAGACACATCTAAAGGGGTTTGCGTCATAACTAATGATGACGTATACCTTAGAGGAGTTAACCTCTTTACATTCACTGTGTCACCAGTGACCTGTCTGGGGTGATGGTTGGGTTTTATTTTAGCCACATGCTAAACAGAGAAATTACTAGACAATATTTTACTCTCATAAATTTTGGAATTTGCAGTTTTCCAGATAAAAGATTTTCCATTTGGATTTGGGCACTTCCAAACAGGTGGAATTTCCACAGAAAAAGCCAAATGTTAGCCAAAACCCACTCTAAATGGATTGCTGGTGATCTGGTGGATGTTACATCAAGTATAAGATAAGTGTTTGTTACATAGATCAAACTCGGAACATTATACCAGCAACGCTACAAGTAAGAAAGATTAAGTAAGAGAGCATAAAAGTTTCCATCATTACTATAAGCTTATTCCTGCAGTCCAAAGTTCAAAGCTGTACCTTTGGTCATTTTACCGTACCTTGTGGTGCTCTGGGTAGCCTGCTCTGGGCTTCACACACACTGGCAGAGGTCATAATGGGTTCAGACGGGGTTTGGATGGGCTGGAGGAAGGCCACAGTGGGGAAAGGCACTGACTGGATATGGGTCATGGAGGAATCGGACAGAGAGTTTTGCACCCCTGCATGGCTGCCGTCCTTATAGCTGGAGGGAATTCTCCACCGGGGTAACGGGGAAGGAGATGCGTCCTCGCTGGAGGAGCCAAGGACACTGGGAGGACTGAGGGATTGCTCTGGGGTTGATGAGGATTTGGGGAGGAGGTGCAGGATGGAGGAGAAGAAGGAACAGGATTCAGGAAGGGGGATGGTCCCGATTCCACTGTCCAACGTTCGCATCTTGCAGCCGGAGCCTGCGGCACAAGGAGAACAGCTGAAGTGGTTCAGGGTGGAGGGAATAAAAGGGAGAACATCAGGAATGAGACAGAGGGGTGACCATGGTTGAAGTGGCATTAAAGTAACCTTTAAAATAAATATGTACGGTACATGAATATAGATACTAACAGGCCTATTGTTAATCATTTATCTGGTACTCTAGCTGACTTTGTGTCTCCAGGAGCTGTTACAGTGAGGGCAGCTTTATCAATCAATAATAATGGATCTTCTCTGCAGTATCATAACTGATTCTCTCGTGCCTCCTTGTTATTCCTACCACATATCTTGACTGTTTGCCTGTTTTAAGCAGCTCGATCCTTGTGTTCTGGTCATTTGCAACACATGGTTAGTCTTTTCCTTCCTCTCTTTCACGGTCTAACTTTCAAAAGCCTTAAAAGCCAAGTCAAAAAGCAGTCCAATCTAATTATATAAGTGTGAGGCAGGGTAATGGTTTCTTTGCTCTCCAGCAGAAAATGACTCAGCCAAATCGGGTCCACTTGAACCACTGCTTTCATTTTACAGATATTGTTTGATGGCTCTGACTGTTAGCATGCACTGGTCACATGGTGAATATGAAATGCACACAATGGCATGTGACATGAAATACAAATGCACGCTGCTGGGGATATTTAATTAACAAAATATTTGAAATCTTAAATAAAAATGGTTCTGTTGTATGCATTATTTAAACGGGTGTAAGGTTAATTCTTAAATGTATTAAGCACTTTTTGTTGAAAATATAAAGTAACTTGAAAAATGAGCCCTTTTCCACAAATATTCAAAGGATGTAATGCTTTGGTAAGCAGCATTAGCTAATATTAGCTTATAAATGTAGTACACTAATCAGTAAAATCATCAAAGCACCAACTTCCAGCACAGCAAAGACAAACTCAGAATATAAATTAAAAAATAAATACTGGTGTTGCTTCAAGTAGAAATTTGCTAGTAACAGTAGTAAGAAAGTAAGCTAAGTTTAGCTAGATAGCTACTAAATCAAGCTATCAAGGAATCTGTTTGGATTAGCTGATAAGCAAAGGGTGGGCAATTACTTTACCCAAGTGGCCACATGAGAAACTGGGACTGTTGTGAAGGGCCACACCAATAAGCTGAACTCAGTTAAACTCAGTAATAATGCTATCTCTTTATAAGCTTATTCACAACAGTGAACAACAGTACCAGTTTCTCATGTGGCCCCTTGAGACAAGGAAATACCCACGTTTGAGATAAGATAAAATTAGCTACCTGGCCAAATAAGGATTTGACCATCTGGGAAAAGTACAGTATCATGAACATGATATTAGATCATGGAGGATGTTTACCATTAAATGTAATGCTAAGTTGTCTTTCCTCTTAATGAGAAAGGCAGTTAATATTAGTTAACACTAGTATTTCTGCTAACACAGATGAATTGCTAGCTATGTCACACAGCAAACTGTTGTCTTAAAGTGGTCAGCTAAGTCATCCAATTACTTATGTTAGATGCTATGGCTAGATGGCTAACCACATCTTGCTTGCTAACGTTACTGCTCACAGAATCTGAGTGGAAACGTTAAGTGGATGACTAGGCAAATAACTTCATCAGCTAACCTAATCCATGATACTTACTTGCATGTAAGGTCAGTGTTGTTTTTAATCCATCAGTAAATTATGTAATAGAATGAAGTAAAGATTTATAACATTTATGTTATACAGTAATAGCCAGAATGATGGCAATTTTCCAGGAGGCTGTAACTTAGCTACACAACTTAACTCACAAGTAATTTTTTAAAACTAACTATACAGATATTCAGGTATTTACTGGTCTCTCAGTTGTTATACAAGGTTCATACAACATTCAGTGCATTAACAACAAAATGCCTAACTCATTTAAGACTAATATATGCAGAAATTGCACTGGACTTTTTAGCTTTTGCATCACTGTTCAGCCACATTTGCATCAGAGAACCATTTTTGTAAATCATAGGAAACCAAAAACAACATGAATCACTCCAGTCACCCATCTAGCATGCACATCATTGAAATAAGAAAATATTTCTTCAAGCTGTTGTCATGCAGACTCATGTTTTAATATGTAGCCTGAAGCATGAAGCCTGTAGGCAATCACACTGTGGAGCTGAGGCAACAGCTGTGCCCCCTTTATTAATTAAGATGTGCACGCATGAGACTTTTGAGTGCTCCTCTGGGTTTCTTCAAGCCTGTTTTTCTTCATTTTTTTCTAATTCTGATTTTAAGCTGTTGTGCCCCGATTAATTGAGAACTTAAAATGATCACATTAAAAGTCATGCTATGTTTGAAAATAGACAAATGTGGAAAGGGGAATGGTAAAACCATTATCAATAATGCTGAAAAACATTAAGTTACATTTTAACTAGAAGCTCTGGAAACACCTCAGTACCGGTAGATTGCAATTCTTTAAAGTTACAGCCTCAGCTGGAAAACATTAACATCGATTACAGTCATCCACTGCAGCTTCCTCATATTAAATAATAGCTTTAAGTAGCTATGTTTAAATCAGCCAACTTGTACTCATGCAGCAACAAACAAGAACAAATAATTGAACTGTGGAGAAGTAGGACAGAAATGTTATTGATTAGTCTGGTCTTAGGTTGGAAGTCTTCTTTAGAAAGGCAGGATCACAGAGGCTGAGAAATTATTGCTTACAACAAGCCTCAGCTGTATTGAGAACAATCAATAGCTGCTTAATGTCACAAGATAACAGTGCAGTACTTAGTATTTAAAAATTATATAGCATACACATAAAAATAATATGACATGGTTTCTGTTTAAGCAGAAAAGTTTCACTTAAAGTGTCCCTACTGTGCTTTTTCCAGCTCTGTATTTTCATTTTTTGACTCTACTGCAGTAGCTTTGCATGATTTACAGTTCAAAATAATCCTTTACTCACTATAGAAGTTCCCGACTTCATACTTCAAAGCCAACCATTTTAGCTCCTCCCCTTTTAAGCAAACTGATTGGCTGTCACTTGACAAATTATTTTAGTAGTTGGTTTGGACTAATGTGGGTCCTGATTACAATATTAGGGATATCTTCTTATTCTCTGTGACATCATACAGAGCCAAGGACAGAAAAAAACCTGCCAGAATTGGAGCATTTAATGGAGTCTAAAATATTAGTTTCTGGCTCACAGGGATTATTTGCACAAAAACTGACCTCATTATTTGAAACACTGGCCATGTTTAATATGAATAGTTTATATATGACATAAAATATTGAAAAAGCACAATAGGTCATCTTTAAGGGTATGTGTTCGATAAGTTTAAGGCAGTGGTGTCAAACAACAATCAAATTGTCAAAATCTCTTCATAGGTTTTACAGCCTTTCCTACTGATGAAGACCACCCAACAGCCATTCATACTGCATTAAAATAATTAAGCAATAGATAAACAACTAAATGACAGAAAAGTCTTTATTTACTATTGTTTATAGAAACTGTTTGTTTTTGTTTTTTATGTTTTTTTTACCATAGGATCAAAATAAAAACAAAAATGTTATTTTATTTGTTTTAGTTTTACTGTGAATTAACAAAAACTTCTGTTTTTAAATAGATTGCAGATTGCTTTCACTTCATTGTCTTTATCAGCAGCATTTCGTTATCACATTGAAAAACTGAGACTGTTCAATACTGTTGAAATTGCAGTTCTTTTTCTTATGTTTATTGAGATCGAATGCATAGTTAAATTTCTCCATACTGACAGAAGGGGCATTTTCTCTGGTTCTCTGGTTTGACTTAAGGTCAATGTGGGCTTTATGTGGCCCATGATGTAATATGAGTTTGACATCCCTGATTTAAGGTATTGATGTTCACATCTTAATAGGTCAAAAGGCTGGGCAGCAATTTACACCTCTCAGTAAAGGGCATCTTGTTAGTGAAAATCAACTTGAAAACAAAAATAAAATCTGACAAGCTTGACTTGAATGTAAAAGAGAAACTCATCACAGAAAAATAATTCAAACACAGACCAGAAAGGGGAAATCCAGTCGTCTTGCTCCTTTTAGAGTTGCTACAGCGGATCATCTGCCTCCATCTCATCCTGTCCCAGCATCTTCTTCTATCACACCAACAGTCTGCATGTCCTGCTTCACTACATCCATGAATCTTCTCTACAGGCTTCCCCTTTTCCTCCTGCCTGGCAGCTTCATATGTAGCATCCTTTTTCCAGTACATCCGCTATTCCTTCTCTGCAAACCATCTCAGGCTTGCCTCTCTAACTTCATGTCCAAACCATCTTAGCCTGAGTCGTCCCTCTGATGTACTCATGTGTAATCTTGTCCTTTGGATGGTGCTTAAAGACAAATGCAGCTGGTTAACCTCTTAAGCCCCAACGCCCCCTGATACGGGGGCAAAAGGCAGGAGATCAGTTAGGCTTGGGGTTTAAGAGGTTAAAGGAGTTTGTACCCTAACCTGCTGCACATTCTTTCCAGCTTGATCTCTCTGCCTAGCCAATCAACACCTTCCTTAGCATCCAGCCTTACATACAAAGCCTTTTCCTTTGCCATCACTCACTTCTGTATGCCCAGCCTCCCAATACTCTGAAATCACAAATATAAACCTTTTTTTTTCTAAACTTTTCTCTAATTGTTGAGTGGGAATGGAAGTGGCCTCAAACATGAGCTCACTTCCACGTTCGTTATAACAACGTAGCCAAACATCCCATGACATCATTTGTATCCGACACAAATGTTGTGGATGCCAAGGTGATGTTATACCTGCCTCTCGGTGTGTGACTTTTCACGAGACTCTGTACAGCTATTTTCCTCGTTGCCGAGTGTCAAAAAGGGCGGTTTTGATTTTCGTGAAGGAGAAAGTCTTATGACTCATCAGGTGACACCACAGGTTAGCCAATTTGTGGCATGCAGTCTGTTGACAACACATTTTTGGATTTGCTTGGATCTTTGTGCCAGGTACTATGACCTAATCGAAAACCTAATGGACTTAATGGAGTTGTGCCGAGCTGACCCAAGTCAGGACTAAAAGGGCTAATAGAGAGTCAAACAGGGCATGAAACAGGGTCTCTTGGCTGATAAACCTGCACCTTTTTACATGACCAGCCTTGCATCTTTGGTTTATAAAATGAGATTATTATTGGTGCTATTGTTATTAGGCAATAATGATTACCTGCAGAACGAGCAGCACACTCGTTATGATATAGTTTAGTAAGTTATATAGGGAGATATTATGTAAGGAGCAGATACGGCACTCCATGAATGCTGCAAATCTATGGCAAAGATGATGGATGCCCCGCTCCTGCCGCAGAGATCCTGACAACAACCAAACGAATCATATCATAGTGGATCGAACAATTCAAAGTTTCGCCGCATGCTGTCCAGATATTAGCTGTGCATATGACTATCCATATCGGGTCAGTGGCACGTTTCACTAGTTTGGTTATATGAGCACTTTGGTTGGTGATAAACACATGGACTATATAAAAGAAGGACGTAGCCACCGTGATGTTGCCCGTTATGAATACTTGAGCTTGGTGATTTGAAGGTGGATGTGACTATGAAGCTGCATGCTTCGCGAGCGCACCCTGACAAATAAATACCAGTCCATTTCCATCATGCAAACAACTTTAAAACTTTTAAGACATGTAATTTTACAGGCGTGTGACGCCCCAGCTGCAGCAACCTGTCCTGCATTATGCATTCCCTTGTTTGTCCCTTTGTTTTGCCTTGCAGGCTCCTGGTAATCAGTGCAGCTGGGAGCACCTGGCTGGTCTCTGTAGCACATTTATGAGCTGGCTGTCACAATATTTCCTCTCCATTCACCGTGCACCTTTTATTTGAGGTTTTATACAAAACTCCACCCTACGGTTAACATTCAAGCACTCCTGACGACTTACACACCTAATAAAATTGTAGTTTTTGCCTCTTTTTAGTTTTTAGTTTTCTCTGCCATTACTTTTCATGGCTCATGAGTTGGACCATGACAAGGGGGTAATAAAAACATGTTTTTATCTCAGCTGGATTTTAAAATAAGACTTCAGTTTGATGAGGAGTGGCTAAGATAAACTCTAGTGGCTTCAATGCACAGCCAGAAAGTTTCTCAGTAAAGTATGAGACTGAAAATGAGAATTTAATTGTGGTATTTTTGTTTTGTGCCTCTTCGCTTTAATCAAGTTGAAAGCTGCTCTGTCGAGTCTGCATCAGGCCCAGCATTTTGGAGTCTGGGTGGTATAATTCAGCTCACAGCTGAAGGCAAACTTAATTCACTCAGTAGTAGTTTGGCTGATCGTGCTTAGCTGGTGCAGCGCTGAAATTTTAACGAGGTGATTAACCCCCGAGGGCAAGCGTTCGTCCGTATCAAACATGCTTGATATTTGCAGTGCCTTGCCGATGGTGTCACTCTGGCCAATGAAATTTCAGTACGGTCTGTCACCGGTCCTCCACTGGAGTGATGTGGAAAGTTTAATAAGCCGCTATTTCTAATTTAGTGAGTGACCACAAAGCAGAAAGAGCCAAATAAAGTTTTACTCCTCGTCTGTTATCTCTTTCCCACTCGCCTGCTTTTAAATAAATTGACACCTTTAGTTTCACCTCGTTAGTAAGCATCAGGCTTAAATGCTTTTTAAACTTGCTTTGTGAGAGATTTCATCTACACCGAATTATTACTGAGCAGCAATCCAAGCCTAGCACAGAACATGAGTGTTTTTGGTATGTTCTTGATTCTCTGGTATTAAATCACACAGGTAAAAAAACCCACTCCAGCCTAATGTGTCTGTGCATTTGTTTTCAAAAGGGTAATTAGAACAGATCCAGTGGGACAGTCAGTCCAGAACTTTAAGGACCAAACTGGTCAAAATGCAGAATTTTTAAATTTTTAACCAGCAGATAACAGGAAAAAGGGACGAGAGAGATTAGTTTGATTTGCCCATATGAACCCATGTTTGCAGCTGTGGCCTTGCTTCATAAAAAAATAACAGATTATAAAAATGTAATTGCAGTTCAAGAAGCAAACTAAACGTCTACGCCTACACCGAAACATCCAGATCTGTTGGGATCTTCTGTATGTGGAATTTGCATGTTTTTCTTGTGCCTAAATGAGTTTCCTTCAGATACTACCAGTTCCTCCCACTGTCCAAAGGCATGCATGTTAGGTGAACTGGAAAATGGATGTACTGCAGATCTTTCTTGTTTTCTCACATGCCAGTTACCAGAGTTTGCCTGAGTATGCTCCTAAAGGTATAGACTGACCAAGTCACCAGGATCCATCTGTACACTGTATACAGATGCATGAAATCCACTGCCGTCCCATCCAGCAGCTGCTGAGATATTCCAGTTTGAATCAAAGACTGAAACATCCACTACAGGGAGCGTTCTCCCACACGTGTGCCCAAATTTGAACATTATTAAACTAAGATTGAAATTTCAGTCCCATGCAGCCCTCTGCATGAGAAAATTACATCTGCACCCCATCTTATTATGGCAAGCATACCAACTTTCAGCTATCAGTTGGAGGGAGATTGTTGGACTAAATGGTGGGGCGAGCGTGTGTGTGTGTGTGTGTGTTGGAACATTAAACAGTGCAGAGGTGTATTTCAGAGGGGGAAAAAAGTCCCACGGGACAATAATAACCTTAATAATTAGTTTTCAGCTCAAACTTGCCGTCTATGCTGCTCACAAATGCACAATGTAAAAACAAAATCCTAAAAAAACAGTAATATTCCAGCAGCTGGGGCACCAAAATAATACCAGAAAATACCAGAAAATAACTTTCCCATGAAAATACGGTTATTTTCAGTAATGAAAATACACTTTGTTGCCCTAATTTTACATGGGATTTTGCCTTTTTCAAGTGCTTTTAAACATTAAATTAGGAACAATTTAATGTGATTAAACAATGAAATTACCTATAAACTGAATGAATGAATAATAATACTTAAATGTATAGAAACATACAGCTAACAGTTGGTTTAAATAATAATGGATTGCATTCATATGGCGCTTTATGAGAACCTCAAAGCGCTTTACAATTCCACTTTATAATTCCCCTCTGGCCATCACCACTAGGTGGTAGGTGAAGTGTCTTGCCCAAGGACACAACGACCGAGAGTGTCCGAGCCGGGGCTCGAAGCGGCAACCTTCTGATTACAAGGCGAACTGCCAACTCTTGAGCCACGATTGCCCTACTAAATATGCATATGTACAGACAGATACATTTAAAAAACAAAGAAATTATGTTTTATTACATTTACAGTGATTTTACGTTAATTTACATTTGAAATGTGAAATCACAGTCTCTTTATGTAAATTTAATGATATTCTAGAAGAACAGTACAAAACTGTAAAATACACAGTAAAATACTTTTATATTACAATTTTTTTTTACAGTGTGTGTTTTTACTTCATATGTAATCAAACTGTATTTAACTCACTCACTGACTCAAATGAACAGGCTTCTTACTCCCATGTTCTTTTACTTCCTAACAAATTCTATATGATCTTAATGGTGTGTATTATTATGCTAATGTTGCATTATTTTGGCAATATTTTATCCAGTCATCCCAATAAAGACCACTGAATTCAGTTCAATTTAAATACTTACAGAGTTACACTAAGCAGACATGCATGTGCACAATACCTGTAAAGCTGCAAGGTGTAAGTCTCATTAATAATCTCTAACAGGCAGGTGTTAAATTAAAGGATAGATATGGACATAGGTGGGGAAAATCTCCAATCTTTGTGGTGTTGAGATGTAAAAACAAAAACTAAATGTGAAGACTAAAATAAAAGGTTCAAGCTAATCTTTTTTTCATAAAGAGCTGGTTTTGAAGCTTCTCCTTTTATCTGGAGACTTTTTGGGCAGTGTGAGAATGAAAGCAAAAGTGTGTGTCAGCCATGCGTTATGGTCGTCATATGGCTTCACACCTCTGCAGGGCAGTGAGCTGTCTTTGGTTGCAGCAGCAGTTTGGTCCACAGAATCAAAACAGCTGAAGCAGATTCATCATGGATCCACCACTCACAGTAAAACTGGCCATGAGTAAGCTCGAGTGAATACGTTTATCCTGATTTGATGAGCCTGGGCATGCAGATTTTTAGTGCATGAGTCCGTGAAGATGAGTGGTTAAGCCTACCGTTAAAGAGCAAAGTCTGCATGGTGTAAAGCCACGGTGGAATGATTTGCTCCGATTTAAAAAAAAAAAACATGAACAGAGATATGGTGGCGGCAAAAGCACAAACTGACAAAATTTAGCATTTTGCATGTTTGCTTGACTGCTCATGGCATATTTATCATGTTCATGACTTACACATGTGTGTCAAATTTGGTCTTCACTTCTGTCTGCAAACTGTAAAACGGTAAGCACAGATGAAACCTTAATGCTATCATTGTTTGAAAGACACATTAACATTGCTACATTGGTACCGAGTCAGAGGCTTCTAAAACTATTTAAGGAGACTGTGACAGAACAGAGGAGAGAAAAGTCTGACCTATTACTGCATCCTGGTTCGGGCTCTTCACCGTGGATCCATTTTCACCGTCAGATCTTCTGTTCATCATCTGCATCTTTGTATTTTTGAAGAAAAATAAAAACAAAGATATTAAAACTTTATACATTTGTACATTAAGCAATTTTTCATTGCATGTTTCTTTTAGAAAACACTGCATACGTTTCCACTGAAATCACTGAGCTCACACCATGTTAGACGAACCAACTCAATGAGTGAAACTAAAGACATGTAATCTTCTCCTTCTAATAGAACATGGTCTCTGACTCTGGATGGCATTACTTTGGTCTGCAGCAGCATGATGAGTAACCTTGGTGTCATTTTTGATCAGGATGCATCCTTCAGCTTGTGCATTTAACAAATAGGTTGCTTTCTTTTATCTGCATAGTGCTGTCAAAATCAGAAGCGTCCTGTCTCAGAGTGAAGCTGAAAAGCTAATCCATGCATCTGCTACTTATAGCCTGGACTCGTTATCTGAAAGCTCCCTAAAAACAGTCAGTTGATCCAAAATAAAAGTAAGAAACTTAATTCAAGCTCAGCATGTGGCTAAAACAAGCCCTTACACAGGGCACTTGTGACAAGAAAGTACAGTACACATGTTTTACCTGCCTCTTATTTCTTAAAAAATATTTTTCTTGTAATTTTTTTAATTGGTCTTCAGCAATCGTTCTTCAGGCTTTCCAAAGAAGAGCTTTAAATGTCGTTCAAGAAGCCTGGAGAACTATTCCTGAAGACTACTTAATGAAATGACAAAAAATCTGCCTGAGAGAGTTCAGACTGTGATGAAGAATAACGGTGGTTAGACCAAATATTGATTTATTTATTTTTTATTAGTATAAGTTTCAGTTTCTAAAGTGTTTCCCTGTCGGTTTCTCCTTCATGTTTCTTCTTTATGTGTTTAGGTTTCATTTTTTGATGGACCATCCTGCATTTGGGTCCTTCCCAGAAAGTTTGGAGGAATGGTTTGTGGATTTGAACTGAAGTCTAGCTCATTTATTAAAACAGCTGACAATCAAGTACTGAACAAAATCTGGCTTTTGGTCAGCGCATACTGATGTCGTATTTTAACTGACTGGGCACTCCTATAGCATTATTTTTTTATTCTGCAAGGCTGACCTATAGATTTCCTCAGATGCCTAGAGACTGCAGCCAAATGCGCTCTGCTGTCATTGTCACTGCAGTCGCACTAAAAAAGAAAGAAAATGGTTGGAAAACCTTACTGCACATGTTGTACAGGGGTGTATTTTCAAAATCCTACTCAAACAGCTATTGTTAGTAAAATAAAAATTTAGAAGCAGTGTTTGGGTTAAGATCTTGTATTGTATTTAACCAAAGCTATTACAGTCTCCAAGTCCTCACAGAAAATGACTTGCTCCTTAATCAGACTAATGCTACCACTATACCTCCACCCTCCTCGTGCTGACTTTTTTTGGTTTTTACACTTTTTTATAAAGCAAAGAAGGATTCCAACAAAATGATGTTGAACAACATCTTCTCACCCCATGACATAAAACCTGAAGTTTTGTCTCTGGGTTCTCATCAACACTGGTTGCTCAAAGCAAATGTTCCTGTATAGAAAAACCCACAATCAGGAGGGAGCTGTGTGCCTTTGTGTCACATTGTGACCTGAAGGGATCCTGACCCAGCATCAGTATGTGAGTGTGCTTCCAGAGGCAGGAAGCGTTTTGGTGGCTGTGAATCTTTTCTGTTTTCTGTTTAGTGCCTCAGCGGCAACCGAAGCAACAGCTGAATGTTGTATCAGTATTTCAGAATTCACCTCTCATCCATTTCTTCATTTTTTCCCGGACATTAAAGGTACAGTTCTTGCTGCTGTGATGCATCTCATGCTAATAAAATCACTGCCTGCTTGGATTAGTTAAGGATTAATTTACCTTCGGGTCCCCGATGATGTCAGCATGTCCTTGTATCTCACTCAGGGACATACCCGGGCAGGGCATTGAGATGCATGCCCGCACTGCATCGTGAGACTCTCTTCTCCCCACAGAGCTGAAAGAAAACAGTCTGTCAACACGCCACCACACACTGAAATCTTGTGATATTGACTCTCGATGCCCGGGGTGAGTCGGCTGATAAATGACCCCGCTATCTATTGAAACCTGGCTGTGAGCCTCTGTATGAACAGGTCTCAGGGCTAAGGAGGCTCATAAATGTGTCTGACCATTTGATAAAAAATGACCCGTGTCATCTGAATCAGGAAAGCTATGAATCAATTGTATATATGAAACTGTGAGAGGCAGTGAAGATCTCAAAAGTACAGTAATTAGTTTATTAAGCAGAGAAGAGTCAAAACGGGGTCTCTGCACCAATTTAAAGATCAAAATGAATGCTTTTGTGTATATGGTTGAATTTAAGTGAAAAAATGTGACAATGGTTTTTCGTATACTTCTTTTAATACTAATGTACTACTATACAAAATAAAGCAAAATACACCTATTTTGATTCACTTTGTATATTATTCAGCATCCTTATTGATGTAAACCTCAACAACAACAACAGACATATTTCTAACGTCCAGCTCAGGCAGTTTTGCAAAGCTTGAATTGATTAATATCTTTTCAGCAAGGTTGGTCATCAACTCCCTGCTGCACATGTGTGGCAGCTCATTGTTTTATTGAGTGTCAGATCTTTACTGTGGACAGCTGAAATGAAACATCTGTTATATACACACTGCAACTTAACAAAACACCAGCAAGGAAAACTACAGTGTTCTGTTTGCTGGTGTTTTTGCTTTTGTTAAGCTGGAGAGTGTTTGACCCCTCAGGGCCATCGTAGTGATAACAATTCATTCAGCATTCAGCTGGTGAGTCTGTACGGAGAGCTGCACACTCCTCCTTAATTTTGTGTGTGTGTGTGTGTTACTCCAGCACATGAGTTAAAATTGTATTTAGAATGTGCAGACATAGAGAGTCTGGTAATTTAGTAACATTAGAATTTCAGAATAATTGTACTCCAGTTATTAATAATAAAGTGTGAGGGCAACACAAATTAAGGGGGAAAAAACAATACTGAGAGATATTTTTAAGAAGACTTTTTGTAGATGGATGCTAAAACATGATCTTAGCCATATCTTATTAAACTACTATAGGAACAAAAATATTTCAGCCTGAAAGAGAAAGGCAGGGCTTTTTCTTCATTATGACAAGATAAGCCATTCCTGTTATATTTCTTTGAAGTCTGCCTAAAGGGCAAAGTCTCTGTGGACTAGTCTGTGCAATCACAAACACCAAAGCAGGTATATGGCTGTCGACATGAAGCCTCACATTCTCTATCACTGATCACTGCTTGTTAACAAAAAATGCTTATCAATTGAGGTGGGAAAATGCATGTTACCTACAGCAGATTTATTGGAAAGCTAAGATAATTTCCATTTTTATGATTTTGTGACATGTGGGAAACCTGAAAAACATGACCTTTATCACTGATTTACCAGCTTTCTTACCAGTCTTTTCCATCACTTTTTCTTCTGTCTCTCTTCTTGTCAGACTTTGTCTGCTTTCCGCCCAGAAGCGATGAGATCTTTTGCTCCCTCTTGTCGTCTTTTCCTTTTGGTGGATCAACCTTTTTGCTGGGAGCAGGAAGCTTACTCTTACGAAAGCCGAACCAACTTGCTAAGCTTGATCCAGATTTTTGCTTCACCTCACTGGTTCGCTCTTGTTCCTGAGACTTGTGCAAGTTCTCCTCTATGCCGAGCATCACTTTCTCTTCAATTGTAGTTATGGTGCTTTGTCTCTCAGGCTCTTCAGAAACTGGCTCCCCGAAGGCGCTTGAAAACTGTTGCTCTATCTGAAGTCGCCTAGCCTGCTCACGCTGGAGTTTGAGACTTTGGAGTCTTTCACTGGAGGACCCCAGATGTAAAGGAACTGCTAGTCCCTCTTCAATCAAAAAGTTGTTTAAGAGGGATCGATTCATTGGACAGTGGTAGCTACTGGAGCAGCTCATACTTCCTGGGAGGACATCACCAAGAGAGTTCAAGGAGCTCCCTGAGTGTGTTTTGATCTGTGTGCGGACCTTTCCAGATCTGTTGAAGCTTGGTCTGTCCATATAGCGTGCACCAAAGCTCTGACTACGAGCTTTGGCCCCATTCATGCCCAGCACTGGTTTAAGAGGAGGTCTAGTAGAAACAGATACAGACCGTTTGAACAGCCAGCCTTCCTCGTCAAATCCCCAGTCTAGCATTACACCACTGTCTGACACAACAGGTTGGACAGAAGGCTCAGAATCTAGCGAGTTGCAACGGGTCTCAATCTTTCTGCGGGTGTTATCATGAGTGCTGGATTCATGTATTGTCTGGGGGTCACACGTGAAAGTCTGAAAGGTCTGGATGCTTTTTCCAGAAGGGTTCGTATCGTCCTTGTTTTGCCTTCCGAAAATGAGGAAGGTATTTGCTTCTTGTCCAGCGATTGCCTCGTGAGATTTGGCATTTACAGGAAGAGTCCTTTTTACGGCTCTTGAAGAGGAAGTCTGTGGATGGTAGTATGCATTAGAATATGCTGGTGGTAAGACTTCCGAGAGTTTTGGCTCACTGACACTCTGTTGGGATCTTTGCAAGACGCTCTGATTTGGCAATACAGAGGGAACGCCATTTTCAATATAGCTGATGGTAGCTCTGTCTGTAGATAACCGGACAGATTCTGAAGCTGATTGTGATTCTTGAACTACAACAGGAGGTATCATAGATGAATGGGTGTGGTACATTTTACCTTCAGCACCCATTTGTGGGGCTGCATGTTGACCATCTAGTATTGCACTGGATTGTTGAGGTTGTACGACTGAAGAAACCTGATGCATATGCAACTTGGTTGGGCCAGTCATTGAACTTTGACCCTGCCCTGGAGATGTTTGATCTTTGGGAAAGCTGTCACTACTAGGTCTGAGAAGAAGAGAAGTAGTTCGACCTGGGGGTCGCGGCGGGGATAGGGATCTGAGTTCTGAGTCACAGTCATGGTCCTGACGTCGTTGTTTTCGTGGAGAGCATGGTAAGTTGTCATAGATACCATCTTCTGAAGAGTCATTGCTTGACTGAAGTCTGGCTATTTGTGATTTTGTGGGACTCTTTAAGCCATCACTGACCCCTGTAGACTTAAATATCTTTGAATGTTTCACGGGAGAAACAAGAGGTGAGCACTTTTGCATCTTCTCAAGAGACTTGGAACTTGATGATGCTGAATTATCCTCATCTTTCTCAGTTTTAGATAATGTGCTCTTGGTTGAACCATGGGCTTTATTTAAATTTGTCCTTTTGCTAGGGGCACTGCTCCCTGTAGGGTTAGGGCTGGGCTGTCCTTTGGGCCTTTGACCCTTGATAAGCTTTTGATGTAGAGGAGAATGTGTGTGCTTTTGTTGCTCTGGTCCTCCATCTGCACTCTTGCTCCGCAAAATAAAAGCCTTTCTTGCTGAGTCACAGAGTTGAGGTTTTGGTTTCCTCTGAGGAGATTCTGAGGCGGAATAGTCCTGGTGGTCACCGCCGGCTTGACTTATTGGGTCTCTGCGATGAGGAACTTCCATTGAGGAGCTGCGCTGCCTGGCTTCATTCATGCAGCACAGAGCTCTTGGTACAGTATGTTGAACTGATGAGCCAACATCACCTGTTCCCACTTCCACTTGTTTGGAGGACGCTCTTCCCTGTTGTCCTTTGACATAATCAAGCCTGGATTTACGGTCAGTGGATCTTTCCTGGTTATTGTTTCTGTCACTCAACTTTATGCCTTTATGTTTTTCTAGTGAATCTATCTTCATTTCCTCCAGATGTGTAAGGCTATCAGTTGGGCTCACACCAGGTTTAACTGTGGGGCCCTCCAGAAATAAGAAGTTGTCTGTGACAGGTGAAGGAAACAGACCAGAGTTCCCTGAAAGTTTCACAGGATCTACTTCAAATTCCTGAGTGACCTCCAACTTGTCCAAGCTTAGAAGTTCTTTTGCTGGCAGGTCACTGGATTCGCTGTTTGGTACTTTAGGCAATTCGTCATCCGCATCATCAGAGTCTACAATGGAAATCCTTGTTTCTGCTTTGAAAGGTTTACTTGTAGGGGCTACTTGCTTGGCTGTAGTCCCTCGCTGGGCAAACTTGACACCAAGTGAGTATATACCCTCGTTTGAGGTCATACAGTCTTTGCAGTGTGGTACAGATGGAAGGGAGGAAGTCCCCTTGGAGTTGGACATTTGAAGACGTTTCAGGCCTTTCAAAATGTGACCTTCCTTCCATCCCAGGTCTGTGTGCTCCAGAGCAGCGGAGTGATTGCTGGATACTGAACCAGTACTCATCCTTTTGTCTCGGCTTGAGGCACACTATGTATTAAAAGAGATATTTGCAATTACTGAAATAGCATTCATAATTAGCTTTTGCAAATTACATTTTTTTCAAACAAAAAAGAAGATGGATGGAAGGTGAATGATACCAACCTGCTTTGAGTAGCCACGTCCCTCTGCCCAAGTGTGGGAGCCACTGGAATATTCACTGCAAGCGCTGGAGAGTGAAAGCTCACTGCCACTGCCGCTGCCACTGCTGCGTGGGCACGTTAGACTCAGCAGGCTGGGCCACCTTCCTGCAGGAATTCCTGCTTTTCCATTCCTTTGGACCTCCTGAAAAAGAAGATATCTTGCAGTTAATTTAAAGGTAGTATTTTTCTAGTGGGTGTGCTAGAATATTTTCTGATGTGTGCTGCTATTTTGTACTTTTCTTTACCTATCATTTCACCATTGTAAATAAGAATGTGCTCATAATGACTTAAAGTTCATTGAAATAAAGTTCACACTGGCACACTTCAACATTGTGTAGTGCAAACTGGTATTACACAAACGTGCAGCTTGGTCGTACTTTTTCAACACAAAGCATACTAGATGTATGGCTTTATATGTCCCTATGGCTTTATATGTCCCTATGGCATATAAAGCCATAGGGATGGTTTCTTCAAATTCCGCTGATAGGTTGATTTTAAAGGTTTAAAGCACAGCGATTTACAATAAGCACCTTAAAAACACAATAAAGAGACAACTGCTCCGGTGAAAAATTCATCGTACATGTGGGGTATGGCTGAGTGGTGAAAGCACAAATGGAGGGCCTTTACTGCACCTCATTTACAGGACAGATCAGTTTGGCCAAATCTGAAGAAAAAAGTCAAACTAAGAAAAGTACTCCAATTGTTAAAAGTATACACACTGTCTTTGTTGGGTGTCTGGTAGTACAGGCACTGTTGCTTCCTCACCACCATTACCTGATACAAAAGACTGTCAACAAAAGCTGCAACGCCCACCAGTATAGACAGTAGTTACTCCCAATTCAGTTTTTCAAAAGAGACTTATAATAAGTCAACAACGGAAAACATATACTGTCATAATAAAATAATTGCAAACATCATAAAATTAACCCACAAATATCACCCATATCCCCCCTTTTTTCATACCACAGCTGGCACATTGCCCGGGGAACCTGAAAAAAGTCTAAAAGGGACCTGGAATGGTTTGCCAGTTCCTGGGTTCAGCACTGGGGTGATCCCTCATGCACTATATGGACAAAACATTGAATCCTATATGAAGCATGAATCCTGTAGGGTTGTTGTTCCGGGGCTGACCTGTCAAACATCTTTGAGAAGAGCGAAAATTCCCACAGACACACTCCAAAAACTTGTAGACAGCTTTTCTAAAAGAGTGGAGCTGTTATATCTCCAAAGGGGTATATAACGTGTACGTGGCTTCCTTCTTTTGTCCATACTCTTTAACATTCAGCTGCTTCTCCAGTGAGCCTCCTGTCCTGTCTTGCTTTATTGTGAGGTTCTAGCACTCTGACTGGAACTGGTTCATTTGGGCTCAGAGAGCTCAGAGAGCCCAAATGACAGACAAAGACATCGATTGTAAAATGCATCCAAGATCAGAGAGTTGGAGTCCAATCGTGGTATGGAAGACTAGCTGGTGAGGCAGCTGGTCAGTTATTCATATATTCAATTCATTTGCAGCTAAAATTTTTGCAGTGGGGCTCCTGATGTTAACCTCCTAACAACTATCAGTTCACCTGTGATCCATCTACAGTTATAGGTTTGGGTTGAGATAACAGTCATGGAATTTTTCCTGTTTAAAAGCTTACCTTTTGGATGTTTTAAAGGAAAACTGTAACGGGAATGACAGATCCAACCACATACTGCACTTTAACACCCTTTATTAATTCCAGGTTGTCGTATTTACAACTCACGGCTGTAGCTTTTCACCTGCGATCCACTATACTACAACAACAACACTCCTTAGGTCCCGGCACGTTTAATAGGGGAGGCATGATGAGCTAATTGACAAACCATGCCTCGCCACACTGTAATGTGGAAATGAAAGTGTAAGCATTCATTTGAAAGGTAAGATCTTCTAAAAACTGTCAGTGTGATTAAACTTAAACTCAACCCCGAACCCAACCCTCAGCAGGTCGCCAACTGCTGGGTGTTATAAGCTCATCCTCTGATTCACACTGGTGAACACAGTACGTGTTCATCCACCTAATTCGTGACATTATGTGTTTCTTGGACGGCCCTTCGCTCTCCATTTGTCTCCGTCACAGTCCTTAAAAGAATCAATATGCTGGATACACCGCTGTCTCTTTCCATCCAAAGGCTAATTGAAGAATGGGATGACATTTTCTACTCCTGCGGTCAGATGGCTCCTGTTTAAAAACGCTGAGTGTTTTCATCTTTCTCTAGTCTCACAGGTGCACCATGATCTCTGTGAGAGCTGCTGAATGAGACATTTTAAAACAATGCCTCTATTCTGACACAAAGGGAGGCTATTAACTGTGCCAAGAGCCTCTTGGTGTCTCTGCTGTTCATTTATATTTCAGCTGCATAAAGACTAATGACTGTTAGATGAAGATGATGCCCCTGTGAGGGCTAAAAAGCTAGAAAATGAACCAAAATCAACATTCACATTATTCCACTGACTCATATCACTCTTGATATGAGTCCTTTGGTGATATTTCTGAAAGCAAGTTTTGTGCCTGTGCCAGATGTGCCTGCGTGATGAATGTTTGTCGCAAGGACAAAAATGCAATTTTGTAGAAAGAAAATTTCACAGAGCATTTTCCCTAAAAAGTCTCCAGCTAATGCAAAATGCTTGTATTAAAGGTTAAGAGAGATAGACATGGTTTGAAGGAAAGTTTTGAAAGCTTTAATAGAAACTGAATATTTTATCACGCAATTTATTTTGGAGTAAAATCCCCAGTTTCTTGTAATAACGGGCAAATTTTGAATGATTGGTTTACTGATACTGTCACGGTCCTGGGTCTTCTGACTCAGCGTTTTTAGTTCTTTGTGATGTTTGTATTATCGTACTTGTGTGAGTTATTCTATGGTTTCTAGTTTCGATCCCTTGCCCTTCATGTTTCTCTGTGTCCCCTCTGTGTCTGCATGTTTGAGTTCACCTCTGTGTCTTTCAGTTCTTAGAGTCCTCTGCCTTATGGTTTATGTCTCTGTGTTTCTTAGTTGCTGTCTCCACTGTGTCAAGTTCGCGTCTCTGTGATCCTTCCTGTTTTACTTTGAAGGTCCGTGTCTTATGTGAATGTGTCCTGCTTTGCTTGTCTCGTCAGTCCTGATTTCTCCCAGGCAGTGTTGGGGAGTAACGGAATACATGTACCGCCGTTACGTATTTAAAATACAAAATATGAGTAACTGTATTCCGTTACAGTTACCGTTTAAAAATGTGGTATTCAGAATACAGTTACTTTGTTGAAATAAATGGATTACACTGCGGTACTTTCCTGTTTCATATAGTCGAGGGTCAGGACTGTTTGGGTTTTGTTTGACAGCTACGTTCTGTTGTTCCAGGCGGCAGCGTTACGGTTGCCATGGTTGCATGGCGACGCTCTCTCTCTCTCTCTCTGCGACTGTGTGTTTCCTGGGTGAGAGAGCGCCTTTTCGTTGTTGTTGTTGTTATGCTAAGCTAACAGGCAGAATGCTACAAGCATAGCTCTAAAGAATGTGGCATCATGGGCAGTGTAGTCCATGTTGCAGGGAGAATGGACTGCCATACACGTTATGTGTCTGTGAGCGCGAGGAGGGAGAAAAAGGGGAGTGGAAAGGTACGAGTTGTCATCGAGCAAAAACGGGAGCTGGAAGCATGTAAATATAATAATAACCACTTCAGCCAAGAAGAGAGCCCGACGAGCCCAGTTGTAAGTAAGCTATTAAGACTCGACTGTACACCGTGTTCGTGTTTTCCTCCGAAAACAATAAGTTCCGTTGGAGCAGTCTTTCAACGCCTCTCTCTGTCTCTCGCAAGAAAAGTTGACCCAGACAACAAAGTAAAGCTATTTTTCGGCTACGAGCCGACAGGGACCCCGCTGTATTAGTCAGAGGTCCCTTTACTACAGTTCGGAGTTGCGCGGACCTTCAGTAATAGTAATAAATCACACAGCAATAGTACATTCACGTTGTTGTAAAAAGCATGATAATATATTAAGTAATCCAAAGTATTCAGAATACGTTACTGTCATTGAGTAACGTAACGGAATACGTTACAGAATACATTTTGGGGCATGTATTCTGTATTCTGTAATGGAATACATTTTAAAAGTAACCTTCCCAACACTGCTCCCAGGTGTTCCCTCCTTCTGTGTCTCATTCCCCTCGTTACTCCCCAGTGTATTTAAACCCTGTGTTTCTCTGAGTCAGTGTCGTGTCGTCCCTCATGCTGTGTGGATCTCCCTGTGTCTCGCTGTGAGTTCTTAGTTTGTTGTTTCCCAGTTTAGTTTAGTTTGTCCTACCAGCAAATAAAGCTGTGGTTTTTGAGTTCATCCCCTGAGTCTGTGAGTCTTGCATTTTGGGTCCGACTCCTGCCTGCCGCACAGCGATTCATGACAGATTCAGAGTGTAGTGTTTTCCATATTTAAAGATACTGATGGATGTCCAGTCTGTCCTCTTTCCTGCGGAATCAGTTAATTACGTTTGTCAAACTGCTGCAGCTTTCTGCATCTGGTTTGTGTCTGCTGTGTTTTGCACTTTTTTGATGTTATTTTTACTTGCTGTTAGATTCGGGTATGACAAGGTTAGGTTCAAGAAAACAAATTTTGCAAGAACTGGCCGGATTAAAGCCTCACTGAGATGCGTCCGCCACTTTGCAGAATTAAGCGTATTTTTGGCCTGCCTGGAAAGCGTCCCCCTTCATAATATTAATAATAATGTATACGTTATTGATCCCGTGGGGAAATTCCTGTCTGCATTTACAACATTCACTCACCTACTGAGCTATCCCTGCCCTTCATAACAACTCTGAGGAAGCAGTACATCTACAGTACACACACACACACACACAGCCCCGTTCAGCTATCTTAGTGAGGACCTTCATTGACATAATGGTTTCCCTAGCCCCTTACCCTAACCCTAACCATTAAAAATGAACGCCTAACCCTTACCCTAATACCTAACCATAACCTAATTGTAACCCTGACACTAAAACCACATTTTAAGCCTCAAAAAGGCCTTCAAACTTGTGAGGACCAATTGTGTGTCCTCACAAATGACAGTTGGTTCTCACAAGGATAGTAGAATGCAGATTTTGGTCCTCACAAAGATAACACACACACACACACACACACACACACACACACACAC